ATCTATCTATCTATCTATCTATCTATCTATCTATCTATCTATCTATCTATCTATCTATCTATCTATCTATCTATCTATCATCTTCTATCATCTGTCAATATAGCTCCATCCATGCATAATTATTGACCAGAAATACAGATGTACAGAATGGAAAATTATGAGTATTTCAAAGAGAGGGGACAGCCTCAGAACTACATAATGATAAATAAAAAACAGACTTCAACCTTCATAGTAGGTTATATAAATCATACACTTAATGGCCTCCCTATATATTTCAATAAAGTGATCTCACATTAATTGATCTACAATTGCGATTGATGCAGTTTACAAATGGCTCAACTGTGAGGCTAGCAGTGATCAAATGACATCGTGGTATATACTTGTGCTCCTCTAATTATGTGCTGGCACAATAAATGAATAGGCTCCATCTTTATTTCTTTCCTGTGCCAGCTTGGTATCCTGTTTTTCTACAAATGTTTTACCTCAAAATGGAGATGTCCAACAATTGTAATGAAGATGTTTATGACATTAAAGGAAATATAACTCATGCTTCAACTCTAAGATAAACCAGCCAGTTGTAAGCATGCATGATAAAGGCATTTAAATACAACTTACTTATGCAATAAATTATTTACCATATCTCATAAAACAGTAAAACAGATTCTCTGTATCTTATGACTACACATAGATATAAATATGTAAAGGAAAAACAAATACAAATAGCCATATATTCCATAAAACAGTAACATGAAGACAGCATAGAAATATTTCAGAGACAGTAATATTTTATTAATTACATGTAGTGAGGTAGCATAGTCTGTAATATTTGGCTTTCTACTACTAAAATGTACCTTCTTCCAGATCTTCCTCCACAATGGACCTGGTGTTTAGTGATCTCACATGTGGAAGCATGAAATTTCTTTACTATTTATATGGAATACCAGATAGCTAGTATTCTATTAGGAAAGCTTGAAGTATTATAGATAGAATAAATTTGAGGAGCTAATGTTCCTCTGTGGCAATCAGAATAGGGACCCAGTTTCTTCATTATAAAGCATGCTGTATATGACATTAATAAAACAGCATTTTAGAATCATGTTCCACTATAACCCTGAGTATGTTTATATTCTCATCAATGTTATATGTGTGCTATGAATTTTTTTTTAAAAGAGGAGGACATAAACAAAATAATTAAGTAGATTATTTTAAACTTTCGTACTACTCTTCAGGGTGTGGAGGAATCCACCGAAACAGGATTTTGACTCATTTGAATAAGGGGCTGGTTAGTTTATTTATAGGTATGTGGGAAAGCAAAGCCTCAGTTTTTCAGTGGACAATAAAATTCTTAACTATGAATCATACTCCCAAGAAGCTCTGGCTTGTGTAGCATTTGATTCTTCTTGAAGGTGGGCACCAACCTTATTTTTTCCTTGTCCATCCACTTACTTTTGAGATTACATTCCAAAGATAAAAGAAAGATTAACACACTGTGTGTTAACCATTGTAGGCTCCTAGGCCTTTGCCAAAACGCTTTTGCTAAGATCTTTTGTTACAATATTCACTATATATGAAGCAATTATAGCTATAATAGTGGTAGTTTATTGCTAATTATTATTGCTAACTCAGTGAGTTAAAATCAAAATTTGGTCCCATCAATAAAATAATCTTCTGAGTAGAGTTCTGCTCAGATTACTTCTTCAATGGAAATATCTTGTTCTCCTTCTGGTGACCCTCTAGTTCTGACCCCATTGTTTCTAGTGGGATAACCTTATAGGAGAATATCTTGACCTGTTACTGGGTCAGAAAACATCTATTCAATGTGTTATTCCTTTTGAAAGAGTATCTAAAGCCAAAAGTTACATTCTACAATTGGAAGGGCACTTTGAGATTTATTGAGAGCACATTAATGGAAACAAGCAAGTTATTTTTGACATGGTTCTTTCCTTTGATTGTCCTAAATTACATAATCTCCTTCCTTTTGGATATATTATATATATTATATAGATACCTTTTACCCCGGCTCAGTTGATAAGTAGAACTCTGTGGCTTAGTGGTTAACACATCTGCCTAAGATGCAATACAGCACAGGTTCAAATCCCAGTAAGGGTATGGCTAGCTGATGAGAGCTAAATAGCTTGAAATAGACCTATACTAGTCTCCCTTTATTTATTTATCAGCATAAATACAACACACACACACACACACACACACACATATATGTATGTATGTATGTATGTATGTATGTATGTATGTATGTATGTATGTATGTATGTATGTATGTACGTACGTACGTACGTACGTACACACAAACACACACAAACACACACAAACACACACAAACTATTGGGAGATCACATCCACAAATTTGAAAGAAATGTCATCGGTATTCTGATGTCACTCAGGTGTTGCACTAAGGATGCGGTGGAAATCATTATCTAGAAAGGCCTATATGGCAAAGCACTATAGTGTATACCTGAAGAACTGATGGATTGAATCAATTTAAATAAAAGAATTGATGTACTGAATCAGTCAGTTCTTAATCATAAATAAGTTATCACAGCTAAGCTGTTCCTGATCTGGTCCTTCAAATCTTCCGATGGTGTATCCATTGCTGCTGTAATTGAGTTCATCCAAGCTGGACCATAAGAAAAGCTGAGTGCCAAAGAATTGAGGCCTTTGAACTATGGTGCTGGAGAAGACACCTGCGAGTCCCTTGGACTGCAAGGCGATCAAACTGGTCAGTCCTAGAGGAAATCAACCCTGATTGCTCTTTAGAAGGCCAGATCCTGAAGATGAAATCAAATACTTTGGCCACCTAATGAGAAGAAAGGACTCACTGGAGAAGAGCCTAAAGCTGGAAAAGATTGAGGTGAAAAAAAGAAGGGGACAACAGAGAATGAGGTGGCTGGATAGAGTCACCGAAGCAGTCGGCATGAGCTGAAATGGACTCCAGAGGATGATAGAGGACAGGAAGGCCTGGAGGAATGTTGTCCATGGAGTGGATGGGTCAGACATGACTTCACAACTAAAAACAACAATCTCTTTCAATACATTTGAATTTACTCTCCCTTACAATACATTTAGGAATGCCTTTTCAAATATAATTCTGCCAATCTAGTTTCAATATCTATATGTGGCTTATAAAGTACACGTTGTGTGTGCTACATGTAAGGCATTTTTGTTGAGGGCCTCTTTGCATGGGGGTGCATCTGGGCCCAACTCTCTTCTGCTTCTGAAAAACTCTGAAGACAATTTTATTTTGAAAGCACTTTGGCCCTTGGTACGATGGTAGGCAACCAATGAGTTAATTTCTATGTTTACATGTATGTTATCTATATTTATATTGTTTTTCTGGTTGAATTCTTCAGGTTCTTGTAAGATTAGAAAAGGTAAATAAATGATAAATTAAACACACAGACCTAAATTATGAATGTTATTTGACTGTTTCCTTTCTTGCTTTGGACAGTATCTGCTTTATGCTGATTTAATAGATTTTCCACACTGGGAAATTATTGCTCCCATCTTGCTAGGTCTATGATTTATACTGAAGTTGAGAAACAGTGTGCCTAATATGACATTCTGACATGTCAATGTAACCTCCAAATTAACAGTATAATTTATTTGTATACAGAATGGACTTAATGCCTTACACCTGGCTGCCAAAGAAGGCCACGTAGGTTTGGTTCAGGAATTGCTGGAAAGAGGATCTGCAGTTGATTCTGCAACTAAGGTACTATTTACTGTCCAGGTGCTTAGAAAAATATAATTAACCCAAAAGAGTGAATGCTAAAATCTATTAGTAAATTGTTTTAATGATTTGAACTTTAGTTAGGCATAATTTCTAAATTATGCCCTTTGTATATTTCCCAAATAATTTCTACAAGTTGCTTTCTCTTTCTAATTCTGAATGAAATTTCATCTGCACATGAATCACAATTTTAGTTCTGTAAAACTTTGCAAGACTTATTGCAAGTAATGATTGTTTTGGATTTATTATACTAAAATCAGGATTTAATATTTAACCAAGACAGGCAGAACAAGCCTGAAACAAATATAAACTCATTTGTTCCCCCATTTCCTGCTTCTTCTTATGTGCAGCTGATAGAATAATTTATTTCATTATGGATTAGAACTGTTGTTTTCTTTCAGCGGATATTCTAAAGTAGTTCAATTCTTTTGGTTTATTAGGAATTGGTGTGCATAACTATATTTCAATGTTCATGTTGTTGACAGAATTTCATAATTAGAAACAACTATTTAAGTAAATTATTCCCAAATTGTGATGCTTCCTAATGAAATGCCTACCAACAGTACTGATTTTTTTAAACGAATAAGTATATTGCTTTCCTAGAAATGTGTTTCGATAATCTTAATTTAAATCAGATTTTAAAGGAAATGGAAGATATTGAACATTTGATAATGGAGAAATTTCAACATTTAATTCATATTTTTATTGATATTATAGAGATTGTACTGTATGTTGCTCTGAATTCTAGGTACAAGAATTAATGTGTACTTTTTATTTTGTGCAAAGCAGAAGGGAAATACCGCACTACATATTGCCTCCTTGGCGGGACAGGCTGAAGTGGTCAAAGTTCTAGTTAAGGAAGGAGCTAATATTAATGCACAGTCTCAGGTAAGTTGACATATATGTGCAACTTTCTGCACATATATGTGCACTTTATATAAAAATTGTCTGAAGATTAATTGTTGATATATATAGAGAAGTACACAGTTTATTCAGTATTGTGATTGATGTTAACAATTTCCAGCAGATGCAGCTAAATAAACTATTTTATAAATGATGCATATTATCATCAATAATATCAAATAATCATTTCCAGATTATTTAAACTATCCTTTATAATCTGGTATTCACATATCCTTCTGCAAAAGCAGTCACCATTTTGCAACATATCAAGCATAAAATAGCCAATCCCCATCCCTAAATTTTAGATATAGCTTTAAAATGTCTTAGTAACACAATAACATTTTTAATCATTCCTAAAAATGTTAGAAATTAGTTCATGCACTGTTGTATGTCTAATTAACAAGGAACCATCAATAGAAGTGACCAAAGAATATGCTTCTAATTTTTTGCCTGTCCATCCTAGGAAGGGCATGCTTAATAACTATATCTTTGCAAATGTAAAATACAGATTTAAAATATAGCATTATTATGTTTTTATTTTCTCTAAAAGTCTAAAGTTTACCATAATAACAAGGAGTGATTATTCACAAGCCATAACTACAAGATAGCATCTAGAATAATGCTTTCCTAGTCACCCACCGCCTTATATTCAGGAAATGCCTTGGTATCTAAGACAGTATTCTTTGATCTATTTTTGTAATTGCTGACTCACACCAGCAAAACAGAAGAGGCCTCCTGTTCTTGAGGGAGGGAAAGAACAGAAAGAACTGACAAATCTTTAAATAAAGGGGCATCTATAATCAGATGAAAATTCCTAATCTGTGCATGATGCTACTGAGGTTCATCTTATAAAAGGGCCTCAATGTATATAAGATTTAAAGTATGTGTTTCCTTCAAAGCATATGAAGGCATTTCTATATGCATCAGTATTTTTACAGTATTAAAATGCAATGATCATGTTCCCCATGTCAAAACAATCTCAAGTTATCCCACATGGTTGGCATATACTTGGGAAATTGCATACAATACATTTAGAAACAAACATATGTACACACTGATTTAATGCCTGCATAATATTAGTATGGATAGTCTAAGGCAAGTGTCTCCAATTCCTGGGCTGTGGCCCTCTACCAAGCCACAGCCTCTTCGGAACTGGGCCGCACTACTAGCAGGTGAGCATGAGTGCAGCTCCACTTACATGAGCGGTGGCCACGCACGTGCGAAGCTTCATTTGTAAAAGTGGCAGACTCCAAAACACCAATCAATGGAACCATCCCCTCCTCCCTGCCAATCCACCAAGCTGGAAAGGTTGGGGACTGCTGGTCTAAAGAGCATCAAAATCTAAAGGCTGAGCTCTCCCCTCTTCCCTTATGGTTGATAAGCTGTTTCAAACATTGGAATAGCTGGGAAGTTAATCAAGCAATGTTAATTTTTAAAAGCTGAATTAGAGTTCTTTCAGCAAAAAAACCCCTGCATACATTATTATGATTAGATTCTGCTTAGGCTATTTATAGGTGGACAAGTTGAAGCCAAGGTTTATATATGTAGGTGGCTTCTTTTGTATCATTCTTGGAATTCTATCCAAATCCACCGGTGTAATTTGCTAAAAATTATCTGCGATGGCTCTAAAATTAAGTTAAAATTAAGTACCTTGGGGACTATAACTTTGCAGAACATTGTGCAAAGTTATACTTTGCTGGTATGTTTCATACAATATTAAGGGCAGCTCTTGGCCCTCAAAATGTTTTTCCCATAATGCCAGTTTGGTATAGTGGTTAAAGCATCATAAAAGAAAGAGACCATGAGTTCTAGTTTTGCCTTGGGCATGAAGCCAACTGTATAACCCTGGGCCAGTCATTCTCATTCCTAGGAAGGAAGTGATGGCTAAGCACCTCCAAACAAGCCTTCCCAACAAAAATTCAGGGGTTCTCCAAGCAGTCACCAGGAGTCAACACTGACTTGAAGGCCCCAAAACAAATGAACAAAACCCCACATTATCTAGGTAGAATCTATCTTTGAACAGTTAAACGTTGGTAAGATATACTTACGTAAAATCTGATAACTAGATTTTGGTCAGGCATTATAATAAACAATTCCCAGTTTGAATGGTTTTCAAACTGCTATTTTGTTGCTAAATCCCTAAATCATTTGTTGCTGGAATACTAGAATGGCGTCTTCCATATTTGTGAAGTGTTGTCTAATTTATTGTTAGTCATGTTTTACTGTAGATTGAAACTAGCTTAGTAGGTAGTCAAAACTGGGCTCTCTCACCTTAGAAACTTTGCTACTGTGATATAAATTAGGATTTTAAGGGTGTATTATATTTTGTTCCATTTTAATTTTAATGTGGTTCTATTAGTGTTCTATTGGGATGCAGTGGCTCAGTGGCTAAGATGATGAGCTTGTCGATCAGAAAGGTCAGCAGTTTGAATCCCTAGCGCCATGTAATAGGTGGGCTCCAATTACTTGTCCCAGCTTCTGGCAACACAGCAGTTCAAAAGCACGTAAAAATGCAAGTAGAAAAATAGGAAACACCTTTGGTTGGAAGGTAAAAGCGTTTTGTGCGCCTTCAGCGTTTAGTCATGCGGGCCACATGACCATGGAGACATCTTCGGACAGCACTGGCTCTTTGGCTTTGAAATGAGAATGAACACCATCCCCTAGAGTTGGGAGCAATAGCACATATGTGCGAGGGGAACCTTTACCTTTACCTTATTAGTGTTCTATTGTTTTACATTGTTTCTTGATTTTTATGAAGAAGTTCTTTAAAATTGTAAGTTGTCTAGACAACTTTCAGGTAACTGAGGTTTAAAAATAATTGTATTTTTAATGGGTTATCTGCTTTTGAGCTTAAACCAACATAGTATATTTAGTATGGGATGTATACTATGTACAAATACATGTATCTATAAACAAAGTATATTATAAAGTACACAAATATACACTTTAACGATACTAATATGCTTGTGGTCAGCTGGACTACCCTAAATATCATTGGGAACGGACTTCAACTTTGTAAATAAGCATGAGCATATGTATTAAATCCATGTTGCGTAGATTTGGATCCTACATATTTTTTGCTGCTTCACAGGCAGCAGTGTTACATAATAGAAAGACTCACTGAAGATTCATATTATGCAAAGGAACTGCATGACAAAGGAAGAGAAATCAAAGAAAGAATAGAACAGCATCTTCCAGAAACACAATTGTATTTATTTTTTGCAATAGTATATTAATGGCAACATACTTGCATATATCAATTGCATGCCTGCACAATATTAATATATGTAAATATTATGAATAAATTCCATGGCATAGTATCATGGAGAAATGGAAGAATAGAAAGTGGTTTAAATGTCTGCTTTGCTGGATCACTACACCATACATTAATATTAACACAAATGTACATCAATAATAATTTGTTAAATTTGCATGCCAGTGATCATGGGTGGTTTACAAATAGTTAAAAAACCTTTATAAATAAGAACCAATACAAACAAATCCCTCCCACAAAAACAACACACACAAAATAACTGATCTGAGCATAGTACACAAAATTATCTGCTACAATATCCTACTGTCAGTGACTACTTCAGCTTTAACCGCAATAATACACGAGCACACAATAGATACAAACTTAAGGTAAACCGCTCCAAACTCGATTACAGAAAATACAACTTCAACAACAGAATGGTCAATGCCTGGAATGCACTACCTGACTTCGTGGTTTCATCCCCAAACCCCTAAAACTTTAACCTTAGATTGTCTACTGTTGCCCTACTCCATTCCTAAGAGGTCTGTAAGGGGCGTGCATAAGCTCACCAACGTGCCTACCATCCCTGTCCTACTGTCCCCACTTATTTGTATCCATTTCCTGTATTCATATTCATGTTTATACTTACATCTGTTATCTTATACATGCTTGACAAAATAGATAAATGAAGGGAGGGAGGGAGGAAGAGAGAGGGCAGAGAAAACCCAACCTGGATAGGAACAAGGAAAAGGAAGAAAAGGGACATTAATCATATTTGCCAAAGGTCTACATGAAGAACATCATTATTAACAGTGAAAATGTTGCCTAGTTTGATAACAAAATGTCTGCAGGAAAACAACCAAGCTCAGAAAGCATCAGAAAGGACTCCAAATAGTGTGTGTGTGTGTGTATCTTGAATGGAGACCTCATTCCAGAGGACAAGTGTTGCTACAGAGAAGTGGCCCTTCTGGGTTCACAAAAATGGCATTGTTTAATCAATGGATCCTAAACACACTAATCTTGCCAAAGCAAAGGGAAAAACTGTGGAAGACAGTAACAGGCCCCATGCTCTGTATATGTGATAACCAGCACCTTCAATGGCACTCAGAAGCAAATTGATAACCATTTAAAAAATGGTATGATGATGTCCATTTTTTCCTTTTGTTTTGGATTTTGGAAGTAAATATGGACCAATTTTATCCTTCTGTTCTTCTTTCTTTCATTGGGGAAAGTTATGATAAATTTACTGAAGGTCAAGAAGGTCAAGGCCTTTTATTTTTCATTTTCTAATTAAATAAACTTTAATTACTAATCTTTGTTTAGTATGGCATATGTATGCCATATATATTCAAGTTCAATATATTTTTGGCATACAGTAAAAAAAGATTAGTAATTAAAGTTTATTTAATTCAAAAATGAAAAAGAAATGCAAGTTTCAATTAACTTTCAAAAGCATTTTAAAGAAAAATTGAATTGTAATTCCATAGAAAAGCAAAATAAATCTTCCCCAGATGAAATAATCATTCCATTTTTTCAGCTCAGTTATTGGTAGCACTTAATGTTCTAGGCACTGCCTGTAGTCACTATAACAGATGTTCAGTTTTTGAATTTTGATCCACATACAGTTGATTCAGAAAATAATGATTGTCTCAGCCATTTAATGGCAGGCAATGTAGAACATTATTATACCCTTGCAACTGAAATTTAATGTTAGGAAGAAATCAACAGGTAAATGTAGGCTGGTTTTGGAATTTACTGCTTACTGATTTAATAGTAAATCATTGCAATTTCTTTTGATTACTTTTGGTAACAATTAAGATTTCCAAAAATGTGTGTGTGTATATATGTATTGTGTCACAACCCCTGGTATGTCCAAATACGGGAGGGAGCATACTGCTTCCCTTTTCTGTCTATCGGCTCATTCTGGGAGCCATCCAGGCAGAAAGCCATTGTTTTTTAATGTTGCCTTTGTTACATTTGTGTTGCAATTGTGCTGATAAATAAATAAAGGGAGACTAGTATAGATCTATTTCAAGCTGTTTAGCTCTCATCAGCTAGCCATGGCTAAATAGGGCTAAATAGCTTGAAATAGATCTATACTAGTCTCNAACACCTTTGGTTGGAAGGTAAAAGCGTTTTGTGCGCCTTCAGCGTTTAGTCATGCGGGCCACATGACCATGGAGACATCTTCGGACAGCACTGGCTCTTTGGCTTTGAAATGAGAATGAACACCATCCCCTAGAGTTGGGAGCAATAGCACATATGTGCGAGGGGAACCTTTACCTTTACCTTATTAGTGTTCTATTGTTTTACATTGTTTCTTGATTTTTATGAAGAAGTTCTTTAAAATTGTAAGTTGTCTAGACAACTTTCAGGTAACTGAGGTTTAAAAATAATTGTATTTTTAATGGGTTATCTGCTTTTGAGCTTAAACCAACATAGTATATTTAGTATGGGATGTATACTATGTACAAATACATGTATCTATAAACAAAGTATATTATAAAGTACACAAATATACACTTTAACGATACTAATATGCTTGTGGTCAGCTGGACTACCCTAAATATCATTGGGAACGGACTTCAACTTTGTAAATAAGCATGAGCATATGTATTAAATCCATGTTGCGTAGATTTGGATCCTACATATTTTTTGCTGCTTCACAGGCAGCAGTGTTACATAATAGAAAGACTCACTGAAGATTCATATTATGCAAAGGAACTGCATGACAAAGGAAGAGAAATCAAAGAAAGAATAGAACAGCATCTTCCAGAAACACAATTGTATTTATTTTTTGCAATAGTATATTAATGGCAACATACTTGCATATATCAATTGCATGCCTGCACAATATTAATATATGTAAATATTATGAATAAATTCCATGGCATAGTATCATGGAGAAATGGAAGAATAGAAAGTGGTTTAAATGTCTGCTTTGCTGGATCACTACACCATACATTAATATTAACACAAATGTACATCAATAATAATTTGTTAAATTTGCATGCCAGTGATCATGGGTGGTTTACAAATAGTTAAAAAACCTTTATAAATAAGAACCAATACAAACAAATCCCTCCCACAAAAACAACACACACAAAATAACTGATCTGAGCATAGTACACAAAATTATCTGCTACAATATCCTACTGTCAGTGACTACTTCAGCTTTAACCGCAATAATACACGAGCACACAATAGATACAAACTTAAGGTAAACCGCTCCAAACTCGATTACAGAAAATACAACTTCAACAACAGAATGGTCAATGCCTGGAATGCACTACCTGACTTCGTGGTTTCATCCCCAAACCCCTAAAACTTTAACCTTAGATTGTCTACTGTTGCCCTACTCCATTCCTAAGAGGTCTGTAAGGGGCGTGCATAAGCTCACCAACGTGCCTACCATCCCTGTCCTACTGTCCCCACTTATTTGTATCCATTTCCTGTATTCATATTCATGTTTATACTTACATCTGTTATCTTATACATGCTTGACAAAATAGATAAATGAAGGGAGGGAGGGAGGAAGAGAGAGGGCAGAGAAAACCCAACCTGGATAGGAACAAGGAAAAGGAAGAAAAGGGACATTAATCATATTTGCCAAAGGTCTACATGAAGAACATCATTATTAACAGTGAAAATGTTGCCTAGTTTGATAACAAAATGTCTGCAGGAAAACAACCAAGCTCAGAAAGCATCAGAAAGGACTCCAAATAGTGTGTGTGTGTGTGTATCTTGAATGGAGACCTCATTCCAGAGGACAAGTGTTGCTACAGAGAAGTGGCCCTTCTGGGTTCACAAAAATGGCATTGTTTAATCAATGGATCCTAAACACACTAATCTTGCCAAAGCAAAGGGAAAAACTGTGGAAGACAGTAACAGGCCCCAGGCTCTGTATATGTGATAACCAGCACCTTCAATGGCACTCAGAAGCAAATTGATAACCATTTAAAAAATGGTATGATGATGTCCATTTTTTCCTTTTGTTTTGGATTTTGGAAGTAAATATGGACCAATTTTATCCTTCTGTTCTTCTTTCTTTCATTGGGGAAAGTTATGATAAATTTACTGAAGGTCAAGAAGGTCAAGGCCTTTTATTTTTCATTTTCTAATTAAATAAACTTTAATTACTAATCTTTGTTTAGTATGGCATATGTATGCCATATATATTCAAGTTCAATATATTTTTGGCATACAGTAAAAAAAGATTAGTAATTAAAGTTTATTTAATTCAAAAATGAAAAAGAAATGCAAGTTTCAATTAACTTTCAAAAGCATTTTAAAGAAAAATTGAATTGTAATTCCATAGAAAAGCAAAATAAATCTTCCCCAGATGAAATAATCATTCCATTTTTTCAGCTCAGTTATTGGTAGCACTTAATGTTCTAGGCACTGCCTGTAGTCACTATAACAGATGTTCAGTTTTTGAATTTTGATCCACATACAGTTGATTCAGAAAATAATGATTGTCTCAGCCATTTAATGGCAGGCAATGTAGAACATTATTATACCCTTGCAACTGAAATTTAATGTTAGGAAGAAATCAACAGGTAAATGTAGGCTGGTTTTGGAATTTACTGCTTACTGATTTAATAGTAAATCATTGCAATTTCTTTTGATTACTTTTGGTAACAATTAAGATTTCCAAAAATGTGTGTGTGTATATATGTATTGTGTCACAACCCCTGGTATGTCCAAATACGGGAGGGAGCATACTGCTTCCCTTTTCTGTCTATCGGCTCATTCTGGGAGCCATCCAGGCAGAAAGCCATTGTTTTTTAATGTTGCCTTTGTTACATTTGTGTTGCAATTGTGCTGATAAATAAATAAAGGGAGACTAGTATAGATCTATTTCAAGCTGTTTAGCTCTCATCAGCTAGCCATGGCTAAATAGGGCTAAATAGCTTGAAATAGATCTATACTAGTCTCCCTTTTTATTTATCAGCACAATTGCAACATATATATATATATATATATATATAGTCTGCAGTCTTTCTATAAATATTCTCATATTTGAAGCTATTTGAAGTCCAGTTTGGTTTGCAAATACAATTTCTTTGTTTTCTGATTGATATTTATACATTAAAATGAATGTCTGTGTAAATCTGCATCTTTTTATGGTACATTAAGGTTGCACTTCATATCACACATGCTATGACTGGTTGAGGTTTTTTTTTAAATTGAGCTCATATGGTAGCTAAAAGTGAAATGGCATGACAAACAGAATTTGTTTAATGATTCATTTTTATTATCATAATGTTATGCATTTCCAGGAAATGCAAGCTGACCTCAAAACAAAGTGAAGAACTATGTAATAATCCTGAAACAAAAATAGCAAGACTTAGTGTTCAAAAACCATAATACAAATCCATCAAGCTGTTCTGAATTATTATGTTATATGCTCTGCACAGTGAATAATTTAAAACTATATTCACATTTGAATTAAAAATATATTAAAATATACAGAGTACTGCTTCTATATAACTTAATGAGATGCTCTCAAAACCAATAAAATGTGTATTGCAAATATTGCTTTAGGTTTTATTCTTGGATGAATTAAACAATTTTTTTTCTATTTTTAATTAATGAGATGCTTCAGTGTCATTTTCAAATATATACATAAAGTGCAAACAAATGTTTTATTTTCCTCTGTTAATACCCTGCTCACGACTCTATTTTGTAAACTGTGGCATTATAAGAATTAAATCTGATACTTAGGGTAAATTGTATTATTCTTCAAAGCATTCCTTAAAAATATCAATCTTGCACTCCCCTTAAGTCCTGAGTTCACATTTTTGACTCCTGGTTAGGATATCAAGTTGTAAAAGTTCTTTTGCAGCCCTGTTATAATCAAAACAGTTTTTCCTTATATTATAGTGCCATGGAATATATATTGTTCCAGTCCATAAATCTGCCATGATTAAGGTCACTGTTCTATGTTAGACAGTGAGTTACTTTTAATTATACAATAAATAAATAATAGTTTTCTTCTTTTCTTCATAAATATTATAACTTTTACATTATTTATTTGAAAATCCTAATTCTTGCAGCACATCCTAAATTAACTTAAGTGCTGCATAAAGAATATGGAGGGTATATTAAGCTTTACAAAACCACATAAAGTCACTACAATCTCATGTTTCATGCTTAATACTTATTTAATAGGGCTCAAAGATATTTACGTTAATAAATTAAATGTTTAAAAAGGTACAAGCTTTAAAATAGTTTTGCCAAAAGATGATTTGGAATGTACCTGATATTTCTTAGAATTGAGTTCTTCAGTGGAAAGTTTTATTTGTTTTTTCTTTGGATTCTATTTGAGCAGGCTTCACAAATCACATTATTTTGTGTGTAAGTTGCTTTGGTTTTTAATATTTATGGCTTGTATATTACTTTATTTCCCCTTAGAATGGCTTCACACCCCTCTACATGGCAGCGCAGGAAAACCATATCGATGTAGTAAAATATCTTTTGGAAAATGGAGCCAATCAGAGCACTGCTACTGAGGTACAGTATTCAGATCTTCCTCCTCCTCCTCTGCTTGTCCTTTTCTTTAAAATCATGGTTCCTACATTATCCTGGCTTTCTGGAAACACAAATCATATCCAACCTTCAATTCTCTTTCAGAGTAAGCATTATAAAAAGTAGAGAAAATGATATAGCTAGTCCTCGACTTATGACCACAATTAAGCCCAACATTTATAAAACATTTTTGAAATGAGTTTTGCCCATTTTATGCTTTTTCTTGCAAAGTTGTTATATGAATCTCTAAAATTGTTACATTAGTAACAATAGTATTAAGTGAACCTGGCTTCCCCATTGACTGTGCTTGTCAGAAGATCACAGAAGGTGATCACGTGATCCAGGACACTGCAACTGTCATAAATATGAGTCGGTTGCCAAGCATTTGAATTTTAATCATGTGACCACGAGGATGCTGCAACCGTCATAAGTGTCATAAACTGTCATAAGTCTCATTTTTCAATCCTCTTGTAACTTCAAAAGCTCACTAAATGAACTGTTGTAAGTCAAGGACTACATGTATGCCAAAGCAATTAAAATCATGATTAGGAAAAAGATAAACATGGTAACTTTAGTTTAAAATTCCCGATATATTTCTATCTTTGCAAACTATCTTGTTCTCATTATGCCTTCCAAATTTCTAGGTTAAATATTTCCCAACTCTTTTGATACTGCAGTGCAATGATAACATTTAACATTGCAGAGGTGCTCATTCATGAATAAATTTATTTACAAAGCAACCTTCTACCTTTAGCATTTGTATAATATGATACAATCCCTTATTGCAGTGGTTCCCAAACTTGGCAACTTTAAGACGTGTGGACTTCAACTCCCAGAATTCTCCAGCCAGCTCTGCTTATTGGTTTCTGCCTTATTGGTTTCTTAATTTGTCACCTTTCTTGGTATGCGGTGATCCCACTGCAGGGTATCCAAGATAGTACGGTATTTAATAGAGGAGCCAAGCTTGCCTTTGTCAACAGCTGTTTTGCTATCCTTTCATTGGGCGGATACTATTCCGTTTGACAGTGGCTTTTAAAATAATCCTTTCTGCTCCTGGAGCGGATTGAGGTCATGTTACATTGCAGCTTTTTGTTGCTGGGATGGACAGAAGCCATGTTCCCATTGCAGTTTTGCTGGATATGGAGCATCGTGTGGTTACTAAGCAACTGGGCAGAAACAACAGTGCAAATGAATGAATCACTAGATGATCTTGGTGCCTACATTTCTCTGTTTGATGATGGTGATGGTGATAACATACAGCATTGCATGGTTATCTCCCCACATACATTAATTTATTTCTTGGGAGGATATGAAATTGATAGTGCACTCATATTATGCTAAGAATGAGTAGCAGTTGTTTTATTCTATTTTAAGTGCATACATGGAACAGATTGATAACACTTTTTCTGTATTAGTTCTAAAACCACCTACTTTATTAACAGGCACTACTGAGTATTTCTAGATTTGGAGTGAAACCATTTCACTTCCTGTCTTCTTTAAACAGAAGAAAGTATATAACCCCAAACCAACAGTTCATTATTAGCTTCTGTTGTCCTAAAACCTCTTTTGCTATATTGCAGTTTGTTTTGAATGGCAGCATAAGGGAAGATTTACACATACTGGTGCTTGCTGGGCCATACCAACCAAAATTGTGGCCCAAATCAGGAATCCCATTGATAGCTTTTGGGTGTTGTAACACTTCCCTTTTGTTAGATTGTAATTTGTTTTAAATGTGAATAGAAGGAAGGCTTTGCACATAGTGGCACTTGCTGAGATGTGTGTGTATGTAAAAAAAGACAAATTACAGGTAGACCTGTTTTAATATTCTGTTCCCAGTTTCCAGAGGAAAGAAACACATCTGAAGATGATAAACCATCTGCACTCTTCTTTATCCTTTTAAAGAACACCACAAGGCATTTTGGCTTCAGCATTTTCATACTGTCTCCTTTTATGTGTCACATGAATTCCAGCCATAGTCGGTATTATGTTGCATAATTCAACATGTCCATGATTTCTTATATTCTCTGCTTATATTCTATTACATGTCCTTCTAGGAAACATTCCTGAAATTTCAGTATTTCAAGGTTAAGAAATACAACAAATCTACATTCTGTACATTTAAAATGATATTCTTAATTACAATGATCTAATATATTTTTCCACCTAAATGATAAATAGAAAGGCTGGCTATACATTTTCAATACCTGATATACCACCACAAGAAATTGATTTCCCCAGACTTATGATCCTGGGGGATTTCAGTCTGCCTTCCATTGGCGAGACATCCGAGTCAGCTCGGGAGTTCGTGGCTTCCATGACTGCTATGGATCTAACTCAGTTAATTCACGACCCCACCCATAATGGGGGGACACACGCACGACCTGATTTTTGTCTCTGGGCAGTGGATGAATGATCTAGATTTAGGGGATATTTCTATCCAACCGTTGTCATAATTGGATCATTTCCTCATCAGGCTTGACTTCCATACTGCTACCCCTCACTGCAGGGAGGTAGA